TCTGCCGTCTAAATGCTGCAGGACTTGGACAAGCGCTGGTCCTCTCTGAACCTTTGCTTCCTCTTCTGCAGCATGATGGAATGGTCCATTGTGAGGCATCTTCTGGGGGAGATGGGGTTTAGGGACATGTGCTCCCATTTACAGGTTCTGCAGGAAGCAGATACAGAAAACGTTGTCACCTGTAGCTTATGGTTAGTGCAATTGTTCTCATGACCCTTGGCGTGAGTATAATCAAATAGCCGATGGTGTAATAATTAATATTCTGTTGCCTCATTGTAGTGTGTATTAGTTACTTTTCTCACTGCTGTAACAAAATATCTGACAAATGCAACTTAGGGAAGGGAGGGTCCATCTGGGCTCATGGTTTGTTGCTGCAGGAGCGCGAGGCAGTCAAGAAGCAGAGAGAGATGAACGCCAGTGCTCAGCTCACCTTCTCTTTCTTATTAAACCCAGGAGCCCAGCCCGTTAGACGGCACCATCCATAAAGCTTAGGGCTGGTCTTCCCTCCTCAGTGCCCCCACTCTGGAAACACCCTCATAGATACACCCAGAAGTGTGTTTCCACAGTGATCCCAAATCCTGTCAGATTAAGTCAAGAGGGGCCGTCAGATATGGGTCAGCGCTCAGGGCTCTCTTGGCAGTTACGAAGCCGGGTGCCCTAACTCCGTGTCTTTCCTCTGATTTTCCTGTCTTGTACTCGTCTTTGTAACTGTCCGCTCACCCGCCCTCTGCTCTCCACACAGCCTGCACCAGGAGCTGGCCCCTGATCCCGGCTGTGCCTTCCAATGCCGACACCCACACAAGGCCAGGGCTTGGCAAGAACTCAAAGCATGTCCGCAAGGCTACATTACGTACTGAAATGAGCTCTGTTCCTAATTTGATTCTTTTTTTCCCCTGTAACAAGCAAAGTTCACATTACAGATAAATTGCCCGGAAATTTCAATTTAATAAGGCATATGCGTTTTTCGGGTCCAGAAGCACAGAAAACATTTTGCAGGCTGGTATTTTCATACTGAAAGGTTTATTAAAAGGACAGCTTTGAAAATGTCAGAAATTTACATAGTGTGTCTGGCCAGTTGGCTCAAAAGGGCTGATTTAACAAAAGTACTCAGAAGTCATGACGTGGAAGAGCCTGTTGGCAGGCGGCCTTGAGCTGAGGTCCCCTGTGGGTCATGGAGGATGTACCTGCCACTCCCAGTTGTCAGTTTGGATCCTGTGGGTGGGCAGTGTGAGCTGGCGAAAGTACAGGACTTGACAGCTTTTAGCAATGGAGTAGCCCTTGGCCTCCGTGTCCACTGGACGTGTTCTGACCAAAAGTAGCAAGCAGAACAGCAAAGGCACTTGGGGTGCAGGCACACCCCCTCAAGGTGTCATGGAAGAGGCATCAAATAAAATAGGTAAACACAGGAAAACAAACTCAAAGGATCCCAAGAAACACAGGTAACTAAGTATGGACAGCTGCTCTCTCGCGCTCTCTCTCTCTCTCTCTCTCTCTCTCTCTCTCTCTCTCTCTCTCTCTCTCTCGCTCTCTCGCTCTCTCGCTCTCTCTCTCTGTGTGTGTGTGTGTGTGTGTGTGTGTGTGTGTGTGTGTGCCCATAAATGCATGCACACATATATGTAGATAACAAAGGTTGACACCAGGTGTCTTCTTTTATTACCCTTTACCTTATTTCTCTAAGACAGGGTCTCCCCCTGAGCCTGCGGCTTGTCAATCCTGCTAGACCGGCTGGATAGAGAACCCCAGGGGTTTTCCTTTCTCCATTTCCCACCTGCCATGCTGGGCTTAGAGACACACACCACCACACCCAGCTTTTAATGTGGCAGGGGGATCTGAACCACCTCCAGCCCCTACCTGGCTACTTATTTTAATATTTATTGTTACTACATTTAGGTGTGTGTGTGTGTGTGTGTGTGTGCGCGCGCGCGCGCGCGCGCGCTCGCTTGCTTGTAGATGCCTATAGAGGCCAGAGGCATTAGAGCCTCTGCAGATGGAGTTACAGGCTGGCAGTGGTGAGCCGCCTGCTGTGGGCACTGGGAAACAAACCTGGGTCCTCTGAAAGAACAATAGGTGCTCTTAACTGCTAAACCACCTCCCTAGCCTCTATCTGGTTACTTTTATTTTTCAGACAAGGTCTCATTATGCAGCCCTGGCTGGCCTGGAACTCTCTATGTAAACCAGGCTAGCCTCAAAGTCACAGGGATCGACCCACTCTCTGCCTCTCAAGTGCTAGGATTTAAAGGAGTATGCCACCACACCCATCTTGAACCGAGTTACTTTTCGAGAGAGAAAAACACAACAGCATAACCTTTCAAAGCCACAGAAGCCCTTGCCTTCCTTAGACCCAGGGCAGCCCAGGCTACTAACTCCGGAATCTCTATGGCAGTGTGGCTTCTGAGATCATGATTCCACGCACTGATCTCAACGTAAGGTCTCTGAACACAAAACAGCAAGGCAACCTTGAATTCACTGCAGAATCATAGCTTCAAAAGACAAAAAGTAAATGACAGAGAGAAACCAACAGCGCTGCTGGCCTGAGAAGCTGGATTGCTTAATTCGGTTTTTATTTATGTTATAAACAGAGTTGTGTGATGTGGGAATAAAATATGGTCCATTTAAAATGCTCATTATTCTAAGTCTGTTGAACCACAAGTCATTCCTGGATCCGCCATGAACCTGCCACCTTTTAAATGAGAAGCCATTGTCACCCCTCTCTGTATTTTCCCTCTGCACAAGTATTCCCACTGACAGAGAAAAACACATGCAGCCGAGGTGCTGAAGGGGTGCTTGGTGGTGCATACCTCCAATCCCAGCACTTGGGAAGCCAAGACCGGAAAATGTGAGTTCGAGGCCAGTGTGGTCTACGCAGTAAAACCCTCCTCCAAACGCCGAGGGCTAGGATGAAGTTCAGTGGTAGAGGGCTTGCCCAGCACACACAACTCTGCATGTTCCACCTGACTGTTCACCATTCGCCAGGTACTCGGCTTGGTTCTAGGGATAGTGTCTAGCCTTTAGCTTGAGGGACAGACAGACTGCTGAGGAAAGGCCAGCCCCTGAAATCCAGTGTGCCCGCATTGAATTCAGTCTCCACTGTGTTTAGCGGGGCTACTTTTCGTGAGCCACTAAACTTTGATTTGGAGTTGCTGTAACTTCAAAACAAGGTGATGCAGTTCCATGTGGGTTGTTGTCAATTACAGAGGCAGAAGTGTGTCACTCAGCAAGTGTAGCCCAGAGCTGGGCACAGATGTGGATTCCTCTCTTGGTCTAGTCAACTTTAACCTCCTCCTCACACCAGAGAGCTTAGACAATGGCTTGGGTGACCAATCCGCACAGCCTACATTAGATAGCAGTCAGCAAGGCCCTATGTGGAATGATAAGTACCACCAAGATATCACAGAGGGTGCCTGAAAGTGGGTCTTGAAAAACCGTAGACACTTGGCAGGCACAGGCGTGAACTATTTTGGATGAAAGCCTGGTGTGTTAAGGCAGTGTGTTCTCAGGAGTGAGTCTCTCGTTGTAAGGAATTCTGAAATGATCATTGAGGCAACAGGGATGTGTGGAAACTGCATTGGCCTGGGGCAGTCTCTCCATCCATCCCAGCATGGCCACCACTGTGGAAGCATCGTTCCCAGAGCTCTGCAGTGTGGGATAGTCACAGAACATCACATGCAAAGGCGCACGGTGACTTCGGGTCCTAGTGAACTGTTGGTGTATCCACAGCCTAAAAGCCACCGTCCTCTCAGGTGCCCTGTGCAGAGCCTGAGACTCATGGGGGATTCTTCACATGCATTCACAAGCACAGACCCTGCCATCAGCCATCCCCAACATGCAGATGAGGAAACAGCAGAGACCTTTGCCCTGCTGGCCTTGACATACTCACATGTCCCCTGGACTACAGCTTGGTTCCTCATCTGTGGAGGGAGCAGTACTAGCACTGTGCCCGCAGGCTTGGTGAGCAGACTGGCAGTCACTGTATCAGTAAGGTTGCGCCATGCTATGTAAGGTCTCGGTGTGATGCAGGAGGCTGCCGTTGTAAATACAGCTATCGTTAAGTGGGTGCCACGCCCTGATGCTGTCCCAGGAGAGACAAGACCAGAGATCAACCTCGGGTGCAGTTCTTCCGATGCTGCCCATCTTCTTTTTTAAGACATTGTGTCCCACTGTCCAGGGTCTCACAGATTAGGCGAGGCCGGCTGGCTTTTGAGGCCCAGGGCTCCTCCTGTCTCTATCTCCCCAGAGAGAGACTAAGAACACATGTCACCACTCTGGCTTGGTTTTTTTTTTCCCAAGGCTTCTGGGGATCAAGGTTAAATCATGTTACCAAGTGAGCTATGCCCCTGCCCTCTGCTGCCCATCTGTAGCCCATGGGACAAAAGCTCCCCTGACTCTGCTGCAGTCCCAGGAGCAGGACCTGGGGTGCCAGCAAACATGCTCTGGTCCTCATTTAAATGGCAACCTAATGATACCTCTCACCCAAGGATCCCCGCTCTGCGTGCCCCCCACATTTGTGCGTCTTCGCCTTTTCTGACACCACCTCCCAACCCTGCCTTGGTTCAAATGTGGCAATGTCCGTGAGGTCATCGGGGTTACCCTTGCTCAGAGGCAATGACTACTCCGAGCATCCGTCTGTCCTGTCTATCCCTTCAATCCAGCGCATCCTCCATCTGTTCTGCCGGAAGTATGCACCAAGGTGTGCTAGAAAGAGCCTGAGCTGTGCCTGAGGAGACTGGCTGTGACTTTGGCCTCTGGGAAGGCCAGGCAGCTCCTAAGAGCCTCCTCTTCCGAAGTCATCACTAGCAGGGAAGGAGGCATGCCTGCCACCTGTGCAGCACAGAGCATGCTCAGAATGGCTTAACAAATGAGCACCTGGAACTGAGAGGTTTGAGGGTTGAGTTGAGCGTGCCCTGGCACTGAGCCAGGGAGCCAGGGCCCTGTGCTCAGTGTGTACTTCTTGACTCTAATTGGAATACAATCTGATGTTCGGTAATTTTTTCCCCCCTCAGGTACTCTGTTTACAAGGATCCAGCAGGCTGGCTGAATATCAACCCCATCAATGGAACTGTTGATACCACAGCCGTGTTGGACCGGGAGTCTCCATTTGTCCACAACAGTGTGTACACCGCCCTGTTCCTGGCCATCGATAGCGGTGAGTCACTTGGAGAGGTCTATCAGAGTGCCCGTGTCGCTTCCAGGTGTATTCGTTTTTGAATGACTTTTCTGACACATGTGTGGGGTGTTCATGGAGAGGAGGGACGTGAATGGGAACAGAGATGCTATTACTACATACACATAGATCTGGTCAATGGTATTCCCACTCCAAGGAATCACAGTCTTTGTAGAAAGGCAAATATGTCCATCCAGGGGTCAGAAAGGAGGCTCACTATGCTCTCTCAGGGATGGGTCCCAGGTTAGGAGGCCGCACCAATGCTGTCCATCTCAGGGCTGTGTTCTCACCTGCAAAGGAGGTTCTGGGATAGAATGGGAGAGGATATCACTGACCCCAGAAACTGAATTATTGCCCCTATGGATTGGTCCTATTATGCCGCAGTCCCATGGAAAGACATTGGATCCTCCCAGCCTGTCACTAGATAATAACAAAATGCTGCTGCTTCAAAAGCTAAGAAATCAGTATCCCATGCCAGACTCCATGTTAGATGCTGGGGACTCGGCAGTGAACGAACTAGGCCCTATCTCCTGAAACATGCATGCAAACAGAGTGTGTGGCACCTTGGGCACTCTTTGTTCTTTGGGGATCAGACTGTGGGGCAATGGCACACACAGGGAGAGTCCTTAGGAGACAGACGGTCATCTAGACAAGATGGTGATCAAGCTACTTTGTTCAGAGAGGCAGTGTGTACAGCTCAGCACAGGTAAGGAGCACAGGTTTCTGACTGTGTTGTTAGGAAATGGGTGAATGTGTGCATGCGTGTGTGTGTGTGTGTGTGTGTGTTGCGTGCATGTATGCTGCATGTGTGTGTGCTGCATATGTGTGTATGGTGCATGTATCTGTGTGCATGTGTATGTGTGTACATCTGTGTGGTGTGTGTATGGTACATACATGAGTGTGGTGTGTCCATTGTGTGCATGAGCATGCATACGTGTATAAGCGTGTGTGTGTGTGTGTGTGTGTGTGTGTGTGTGTGTAAAGCTCAATGGAATCTCAGATTGCTAAGCTTTCCCTATACTTGCCTACCTCAAGCTGGTCCCAGGGGCCAGGGATCAGGGTTGGGGCTAAGCTGAGATGTCTTTGTATCAAATGCACACAAAATATCTCTTCCTGTTTTTTGTACAGTGGTTTAGCGTTAAAGACTGGGTTTTGAGTCTTCCTATGTCAAGACTCTTTTGGGGCTCTTTATATTTGCCCATCGTACTCAGCAACAAGGTGTAAACTAGGAACTTTCAATCCATCTCTCCATCTGGGAACCCATGCATGAACCAAATGTGAGGACATACATGGTACAGATGAGCCATCCATGGCACACAAGGGACAGTTAAGTCAGCCCTTGAGTTCCACCCAGAAAGTCAGAGCCGGAAGGGAGAGAAACACGGGAGTCGGAAAAGGAGAGGCGGGGGTGCCCCCATTGCAAGTGGCTCTGAAGGGGTCAGTTTGATGGCTCTGGGAAAGTCATCGCTGCAAAGTATCCCAGATGATGGGCAGTGAGGTGGCTCAGTGGGTAACGGTGTTTGCCACCACACCTGACAACCTTGGTTCCAGCTCTAGGACCCATGCAGTAGAAGGAAAGTGCCAGCTTCTGCAAGCTGTACTCTGACCTCCACATGTGAGCCATGATATGCACATGCCTACATACACACACACACACACACACACACACACACACACACACACACATACACGAGTAAATAATAACAAATTAAATTTTAAAAAAACAAAGTATGTCAAGTGGTCAAAAGACCCTGAGTTCTTGAGGTGGCATAGCTGTGCTGAACCAGCTCCTGAACCCACCAAGACACCTAGAGCCAGAGCAGACGCTGAGAAAGAGGCCCTTGTGTTTGTGTTTTGGGATCTCAGGAGTTAGTCAAGTAAACTGACAGTCCTATTAAGGGTCATTCCTGTTCTAAGTCTAGAAGAGCCCCTGTCCATCCTGGGATCAAGGGATATCACAAGAGAGGTAAGATCAGAACTGAAGGATGAGTGAGCTAGTGCAGAGTTGGACATTCTAGTAGCCCTGGAGACAATGAGTCTATTGGGTCATGTGGCAGGATATAAGTGTGCAAAGACGAGAAAGGAGAACTGAGCAGCCACCAGACTGTTAGGTAGCGGGCCCCAGGTCCTGCACTGTAGACCAAGCAGCCATCACAGTATCTAGTTCAGAGCAGGGGCTCAGGGCTGTGCAGGGGGTCATGTGAGCAGCTATAGAATGCTAGACATAGACTTGATTCTATCACTCCCAGACCAAACTTCTGTAGGAAAACCATTCCCAGTGTTAAAATGTAAGGCTGGACAGCATAAGAGTTTGTTCCGGTTACAGTTCATCACAGCAGGAATGTCACAGCAGCAGGCATATGAAGCAGCTAGTCACATCACATCAACCATCAAGAGCAGAAAGAAACAAAAGCGTACATGACCACTCGCTTGCTATCCAGCTTTCTCCACTTTCACACAGCTCAGGACCCCCACCCTGCCTAGGGAATGGTGCCACCCACAGTGGACTGGGTCTCCACATAATTAACAGTCAAGATAATCAGTCCCTCACAGATATGCCCACAGACCAAGCTGATCTAGACAGTTCCTCAGTTAAGAGGCTCTTCTAGGTTGTATAAAGTTGACAGTTCAAACTAACCATCACAGTACAACATTTATTACACCTTAAAAGACTGTGAACATATGGGAAGTTGAAGCATTAATATAGACAAGGTAGGCAAAGGCTATGAACCTTGAGAGAAAGGTGGCATTGGGCTCCTGGAGACCAGGACTAACTCCTTTCAATAGACAAGGAGCTGATTTCAGAAGACCAGTCCCATCTGGCTTTGGGGCTAATTGTTGCATGATGTCTCATGAGATGCTGGCAGTAAAGGAAGGGACAGTCCCAAAGCCTGTTTCACATGCTACATAAACACGGAGTGGCAGTGATGGACAGCTCCGTGACACTGCACTTTCAGGCTCTGAACCGCGTGCAAACATCTGAACATCATGACATGTTGGGACGAAAAGGTCACAATGAAACCCATTATTCTGTACAATTAACACACACTAATTTTAATTTTGTTTTAGGTTTATTTTGTGTGTATGAGTGTTTTGCGTACACGCACATTTGTGCACCACGTGCATGCCTATGCCTCGTGCCGGCAGAGGTCAGAAGAAAGCATCAGACCCTCTGGAAGTGGCGTTATGGATGGTTGTGAGCCAGTGGGTGCTGGGAAGTGAACTCAGGTCCTTGACAGGAGGAGTAAGTGCTCTTAAGTGCTGAACCACCTCTCCTGACTCCACACACAAATTTTAAAAATGTTTTGACTTAAGTATTCGGAGGCTGGCTTAGTGGGTTAAAGTGTTTGCTGCTGAGTCTGGGGACCTGAGTTCAATCCCAGAGACTCACACGGTAGAAGGAGAAAACAACTTCTGTAGGTTGTCTTCTGTGGCACACACATACACACATACACTCATACACACACATATGCACACACACACACACACACACACACACACACACACACACACACGTAAATTTTAAAAATTTAATATCCAGAATCGCATTTTCCAGTATGGAAGTGTAGCTCAGAAGTACAGCTCACGTTGAGCACACAGGAGGCCCTGGGTTCAATCCCCACCACCACAACAAAAGATAAAAGATTCCTCTTAGGACATCAGTTTCTTTCCTTTGGCTTCTTCCATCCTTAACATTGCTGGAACTTTCTATGTGGCTGAGTAGCTGTCTGGTTTCTAAGGGCATCCTATAACCACCGCGTGTTCCTGCAGAGGGGGCATCATCTTGCCTGTTTTCTCAAGGTGCGGTACACCTGTGAGGCCTGTTCAACTCTGTGACTCAGTTTCCATGTAAACCAAGGAGGTTTAATCCTGCTTTAGAACATTGCTGTGAGGAAAGAGAAGGCGCCAAGGCCTGGCAACCCCAGAAGAAGCCAAATGCACTTCACTCCGCATTAATTGCACCTGCATAGGGCAGGGTTCAGGTGAAGAAAGAACAGGACCAAGACTGATCCTCCTGCATCCAAGAAAAGCCCCACCTGCCATGGACTCTTGACTCACTCTCTTAATTCTAACATCAGATGAGGAAATTCAAAATCTGTTCTCACAGATGTTTCCAGAAGATGGAAATGTCCCCAGAGGTGTGAGCAGAAAACAGGTTGGGATCATTACTACACAGGCTGTTGTGAGGGATGGTCATATGAACAGAGCCCCAGGGAGTTCACGCCTGGCAATGGCCTTGTCAGTCAGAGGGATTGTGTGTAAAGGCTGCTTTGACAGTTGCTGGAAACTTATCTCCGGGTATTAGGTTTATCTGGGGAAAACAAATTTATCCAGCACACTAACAGGTATCTCAGCTTTATCCAAAGTCAACACTTATGTTTATTAATTTTCTACAAATTCAGTTTATTTGATGGAATGAAAGAATAAGAAACTTGTCATTTAACGCCAGGAAAGCTAAATCTCCAAAGTTGATTTTCTGCAGACTGGGAGTCACTCTGGAATTTGTGCCAAAATACAACAATGATAAAATGCTGGGCTTTGGGAAGTGCCAGGTAGGATGTAGCCTTGCTGAAAAACTAGAAAATTCCAGCAACACACACGCAACTTTTGCTGTAAACACATCAGAGGTATAGACACAGCCAAGTCAAAGAAACTACAGCATCCGAGACCGAGGAGCTGGTCCTAAGACAGTGAAAGGCACGGACTTGTGGATCTGATTCTGGGTTAGAGTCAGCACCCCCCTCCCCTGAGCCCAGGAGAGGGTGTTGAATTGCCTGAAACTAGAGTCCCAGAAGGTTGTGAGCCACCCGATGTGGGTGCTGTGAACTGAACCCAGGTCCTCTGCAAGAGCAGCAAGTGTTCTTAACTATTGAGCCATCTCTCCAGGCACCATCTCAGTGGGCTTTCAGAACCACCTGTGGTCTCCTAGGAACTAAGAGACTGGAGGAGGCCAACTAACTTCTCATTTAAGACACCTGTCT